TAATCCCTTGTGTACATGGATTGCAAGAGTAATCACCAATAATTTTATTTGAAGGCATGATAAGCTTCGTTTATGCATTGTGTATGGCAATAGAAGATGTTGGCATGATTATTTTTTCCCCCCCCCCTTTTAGTTCTGAGTACTTGTAGAGTTTGTTTCCAATGAGCTAAAAGGAAGTAGCGTTTTATAACTAATTTTTCACGCATGTAAACGAGATTAAACTTCTTTAAAAAAAAAGTTGGCCAAACTTACTGAATTGCTTGGTCTACTAATAAATTCAGATTATTCGGGGACAACGGTTTCAAACGTTATATAATCTTTCGTGATATTTCATGTTAGAAAATTATATGTAACCGTTGTTGGGCTTATTCCCCTCCAATTGGGCCAGCAAAAAGAAGAAATAAAACCAAGCCTTATTGGCTTTGGTTTTGGTTTTCTTGACCGGGGAAACAAACCCAATTCCATTGGGTTTTGGGTTTCGGTTTATTCATTCTTATAAAAGCAAGGCTTCCATAGAAGTTTTGGTATGTTTTTCAGTCGAGAGAAAAGGAAAATTAGGGCAGCCGCGCAAGGGTTTTGTGCGAGGGAAAAAGAAAGAAAACTAGGGTTTAGTTTTCGGTTTAACTCTCTTTTGGTTAGATCCTTCCAGTCCTACTTTGTGATAGGGGTGTGTGGAAAAGTATTATTGTAATCCACCTTTGGGTGAAGTCCTGTGTATCCACCGGTTGGTGAAGACTATTTTTCCATTATTATGATAGTGGAGATTTGACTGTTGTTACAGTCCTGCAGTTTTTCCCGATTTGGGTTTCTACGTAAATTTGTGTGTTTACTTTACTTTATCAATTCTTGAATTATTTGCTTGTTTGGTTGGTTGCCCTATTTTATTGATAGTAGAAAAGGAGTTTTTCTTGGGGTTCGTTTCCGTGGTTGTTTGTGTTTATACCTTTCCGCCACATCAACAGTATATGTAGCAGGTAGTTGACGTTGTGGGGAAATTTTAACTAATGTAACATGAAATGTAACAAAAAAATTTAGGGGAAGGGAGATGTTAAGAGATTGATCAAACTCCATCAAGCCTTTGGTTACTTGGATCGATCTCTACACACAAAGCCACGCACATTAAGATTTGACTTCTTTCGTAATATAGTGTTTCTCTTTACTCTCTTTTAATGTAAACATGTGATTTTTTTTTAGAGTATCTTTTCTTTTCCTTTCCTTCACCCTTTTCAAGTAATTCCGTTTTCTTTTAATAAATTAAAAGTCATTCATAATTCCAAGTCTAATTGTGGCCCTCTTTTATTGCTGAAATAATAAGAACTAGTGTTTATGCCGCACGTTGTGCGGGTTATTCAAAAATAATGTTAATGATATAAATTACAATTGTGTAATTTTGAACTATATTTTGTTATTTTAAGTATAGTTAGAATAATTTTTAATTTTCGAAATCATCCAATATAACTTATTGTCCATGTTTTTTCGTGTTGTTGATTTATAGTTTCATATCTTTTAAAAGTATTCTTTTAATTTTTCATATTGATCTCCTTAATAAATAAATATTTCCACATATGTCATATCTTTTAAACTCTCTCTCTAACAGAAAATTTTTTCATTATTTTTTCCATAGAATTTTCTTTATTTTTTATTTCTCTATATACCTTTTGCAACCTTTCATTAGTACTTTGTTCGTATATTTTTTTTCTATAATATAGTGTTTACTTCATTTTTTTTCCTTGGTTGCATAGACGGCTTTTTGTTCTTTTTAAGTTTGATGACTTCTTTTTAAAGTTTCATTTCTTGAAAATTTTGTTATCATCATTTCATTCTTTACTATTATCTCGGTTTGTATTTTCATATTTTTCTTATTTACTACATAATCTTTTCCACCATATAGTTATTTTTAATATCTCAATATGCTTTTCTTCTATAAGTTGGCTCTCACAAAGACCTTTATTGTTTTTTTTTTTTTTATTTTGGAAAACTTTCTCCCTATTAATCTTTACGTTTTGTTTTATCGCCATAACCTTAACTTTTTCTACCATTATATCATATAGAAAAAAAAAATAATGAATATATTACACTATTGTATTAATTTTATCAATAATAATTTTTTATATTATTTTATAATATATTATATCATATATCATTATTCCATATTTAAAATTTTGCCGATTAATAAATAATTATATTATCTGTATTATTATTATTTTAATTTTTTTATTTTGTAAGTTTTTATACAATGTAGTCAACAATAAACATTTATTAGCATGATTGTTAAGGGGCAAAAAGTATATTATCGATAAAAAAATTTACAAATGAAGCACCAGCAACTGAAATAAAAAATAATACACTAAACAATGGAAAAACTCTGATTTATGGTTACAATTCAACACATAACTATAGAAATTAATATTGGCCGGTGACTTGGTTTTTCTCATCATACCCGTCGTTTGTTTTTCTTTTTAATGTCGAATTGTTTTCTTTATGTTTTTTTTTCATTTCAGTTGGTTATCTTTGGATTTATTAATATATTTTTTTTCTTTTACAATTTTTGTACAACGTAGTCAACAGTAATTATTTGTTAGTATTGCCTGTTAAGGGGTAAAAGTTATATTACTATTAAAAAAATTTACAATCGAAGCATCACCAATTGAAATAATTAAAAACCGATACACTAACCAATAAAAAAGAAAAAGAATACGATTAATGGTTATTACACTTTTAACACATAACTATAAAAATTAATATTGATCAGTGAATTGGTTTTTCTCATCATGGCCGTCGATTTTTTATTTTTATTTTTTTTACGTCAAATTGGTTTTCTTTTGGTTTTTTTATTTTAGTTGATTATCTTTGGATTTATTAATTTGAAGTTTTTTTTTTTTTTGGTCTTTGCTGAGTCATATTTTAGCAAACATTCTCATATAATTTCCCATAAGATTTTGTGTTCTCTTTATATGCTTTAAAGATGATATTACCCAATAAAATTTGTTTTTCTTTTTAATGTCGAATTGTTTTCTTTATGTCTTTTTTTTCATTTCAGTTGGTTAACTTTGGATTTATTAGTATTATTATTTTTTTCTTTTACAATTTTTGTACAACGTAATGAACAATAATTATTTGTTAGTATTGCCTGTTAAGGGGTAAAAGTTATATTACCATTAAAAAAAATTTACAATCAAAGCATTACCAATTGAAATAATCAAAAACCAATACACTAAGCAATAAAAAAAGAAAAGAATACGATTAATGGTTATTACACTTTTAACACATCTTTAATATATTAAAGGAGAGTTTTCAATATTGATCGGTGAATTGGTTTTTCTCATCATGGCCGTCGAATTTTTTTTTTTTATGTCAATAGTTTTTCTTTTGGTTTTTTATTTTAGTTGATCATCTTTGGATTTATTAGTTTGAAGTTTTGTTTTTTTTTTTTTGGTCACTGCTAAGTCATATTTTAGCAAACATTTTCATTTAATTTCCCATAAGATTTTGTGTTCTTTTTATATGATTTAAAGATGATCTTACCTAATAAAATTTGTTTTTCTTTTTAATGTCGAATTATTTTCTTTTTGTCTTTTTTTTTCATTTCAGTTGGTTATCTTTGGATTTATTATTATTATTATTATTATTATTTTTCTTTTACAATTTTTGTACAACGTAATCAACAGTAATTATTTGTTAGTATTGCCTGTTAAGGGGTAAAAGTTATATTACCATTAAAAAAATTTACAATCAAAGCATCACCAATTGAAATAATTAAAAACCAATACACTAACCAATAAAAAAGAAAAGAATACGATTAATGGTTATTACACTTTTAACACATCTTTAATATATTACAGGAGAGTTTTCAATATTGATTGGTGAATTGGTTTTTCTCATCATGGCCGTCGATTTTTTTTTTACGTCAAATTGGTTTTCTTTTGGTTTTTTTTTTATTTTAGTTGATTATCTTCGGATTTATTAGTTTGAAGTTTATTTTTTGGTCATTGCTAAGTCATATTTTAGCAAACATTTTCATATAATTTTCCATAAGATTTTGTGTTCTTTTTATATGCTTTAAAGATGATATTACCTAATAAAATCTTTATTTGGAGGAGTTGAGAGATTGGAAACAATTGGAGATAAAGTGGACGAATTGGGCTTAAATGAAGTGGAAAATTAAAGCTGAGGGATGAGGTGAATGTTCAAGAATCAGTAAGAAAGACAATAATGAGTTGAAAACTTATGGAGTAAAAGTGTAATTTTGTTGTTGATTAATTAATTTGGCCATGAGAAGAATTAATTGGCTTGGTAATTGATTAAATACATTAGGCCACTTTATTTTGGACTTTTGGGCTAACCGATTTTGGAGAGAAAGCACAATTTAACATTTAGTTAATTAACAAATTGAGCCCAAGAAATCAAAGAAGTTTTGCCCAATCATTAAAATTTACCGTTAAGAGGTAATCTCATAATTAATTTAGTTTTATCTATAAATTTATAATTTTACATTAAAAAATTACCATTAAATGATGGAGTGATGTGGGTGCGACATGTGGATTTGAATGTCTAATTTTGCGCCACGTGGATTAACCTATCTAATATCGCGTCATGTGTCCGATTGAAAACTCTCCTTTAATATATTAAACATATGTTTAGTAGCTAGTCTTGGTGGAGAATAGGCGGAACTTGGTCTTAAAATCCATTATTCAGATCTGTACAAGTTTTGATCTTATTTAATTACAAGTAAAAAAAAAAAATCTTATTAAGTCTTAGGTGGCTTAATTTTGCCTATTTTAGTTAGGGTGTGGTTCGTATCTTTAATTAAATTTTAGATTTAGACCAAATAATAATGGGTAAAAGGTTCAATTGACGTTTCCAAATAATATTGTGTTTAGGCTACATTGTTTTTCTATGGTCAAGCTTCGAGTAGGAATTGGTTTATGTAAAGGTCCTATAAATAGAGAGGTTTAGAGCTCAACTTATTTTCCAATTAAAATCACCTGATTTATCAAATTGGGCTTTCTGAAACCCTAGGCTTATTGCTATTCAATCAATCAATCATCATAATGACGCCGAGGGAAATTCTTCTGGAGGAGGGATGGGATGTGTTGGAGAAAGGAATAACAAAGCTGAAGAAAATTCTTGAAGGGAAAGATGATGAGCCGCAGTTCAATTCTGAACAATACATGGTGCTTTACACAACGATTTACGATATATGTACCCAGAAGCCTCCAAACGACTACTCTCAGCAATTGTACGACAAATACGGAGAGGCCTTCGAATCGTACATTGCCTCCGTCGTGCTGCCTTCGCTGAGGGAGAAGCACGAGGAGTTCATGTTGATAGAGCTCGTGAAACGTTGGTCGAATCACAAGGTCATGGTTCGATGGCTATCCAGGTTCTTCCATTATCTCGATCGGTATTTCATCGCCCGATTGGCGCTTCCTCCGCTGAACGAAGTCGGGGTGACATGTTTCAAAAGCAAGGTGTTTGAGGAATTGAAAAGAAAAGCTACAGGTGCTGTTATAGCCCTGATTCAACAGGAGCGCGACGGAGACCAAATCGACCGTTCTTTATTAAAGAACGTGTTGGATTTGTTTGTGGAAATCGGGATGGGACAGTTGAATTGTTACGAGAATGATTTTGAAGATGCAATGCTCAAGGATACCACGTCTTATTACTCCCGACAAGCTTCTAAATGGATTCTCGAAGACACTTGTCCGGATTATATGTTGAAGGCCGAAGAGTGTTTGAAGCGTGAAAAGGACAGGGTGGCTCATTATCTCCATTCCAGCAGCGAATCCAAGTTGCTGGAGAAAGCGCGACGCGAGCTCCTGACTGTGTATGCGTCGCAACTCCTGGAGAAAGAACATTCCGGAATCTCCGCACTCCTTCGAGATGACAAGGTGGAGGATTTGTCCCGGATGTTTAGGCTCTTCTCCAAAGTAGACCAAGGGTTGGATCCTGTTGCTAATGCTTTCCGGCAACATGTTACTTCCCTAGGCACCGCTTTGGTGAAGCAAGCTGAAGATGTCGCGAAAGATAAGAAGGCCGACATCAAGAAAGACGTTGCTGGATTGCCCGAGCAAGTATTCGTGAGGAAGGTGATCGATTTGCACGACAAGTATATTGGATATGTTAATGACTGTTTCCAAAACCATTCATTATTCCATAAGGCTCTAAAGGAAGCTTTTGAAGTCTTTTGCAACAAGAATGTTGCCGGGAGCTCGTGTGCTGAACTTCTCGCGACATTCTGCGAGAGTATTTTGGTTAAAGGCGGTGGAGCTGAGAAGCTCAGTGACGAAGACATTGAACAAACCTTGGAAAACATAGTGAAGTTGCTTGCCTACGTCAGCGACAAGGATCTGTTTGCAGAATTCTACAGAAAAAAACTCGCGCGCCGCCTCTTGTACGATAGAAGCGCGAGTGACGAGCACGAGAGAAGTATCCTGACCAAACTTAAACAGCAATGTGGGGGTCAGTTCACATCGAAGATGGAAGGCATGGTTACAGATCTCGCCTTGGCAAGAGAAAACCAGAAAGAATTCAAGGAGCATCTTGTTAAAAATCCTCCAGGGATCGACTTCAGTGTCACTGTCCTTACTACAGGGTTCTGGCCTAGTTACAAGGTTTCTAATCTTAACCTCCCTGCTGAGATGGTGAAATGTGTTGAAGTGTTTCGGGATTATTACCAAACCAAGACAAATCATAGAAAACTTTCTTGGTTATATTCATTCGGGACATGTAACATTAATGGAAAATTTGATGCCAAGCCCGTGGAGCTGATTCTGTCAACTTACCAAGCTGCTGCTCTGCTGCTTTTCAATGCATCCCACGGATTGAGTTATCAGGAGATTAAGGCGCAATTAAATCTGCCTGATGAGGATGTCGTGAGAACGCTTCATTCGCTGTCATGTGCGAAATATAAGATTCTAAATAAGGAGCCAGGCAACAAGACCGTTTCTCCTACTGATGTCTTCGAGTTTAACTCGAAATTCACCGATAAAATGAGGAGGATCAGGATCCCTAATCCCCCCGTTGACGAGAAGAAAAAGGTGATTGAGGATGTCGACAAAGACAGACGTTACGCAATTGATGCTTCAGTCGTGCGAATCATGAAAGCTAGGAAAGTATTGGGTTACCAGCAATTGGTTATGGAAACCGTCGAACAATTGAGCCGTATGTTTAAACCCGATGTCAAGGCCATTAAAAAGCGAATAGAGGACTTGATTACTCGAGACTATCTCGAGCGGGATAGAGAAAACCCAAACTTATTTAAGTACTTGGCATAGCAAGCCACAGTTCCAGTCTTTGTTTCTTGCATTTTTATGGCTTTTTTTTTTTTTTTGGAGAACAAATGGAATAGGATTACAATAATTTTGCTAATGAATGAATTTATGATTTTTACTTTTTATTTTTACTAGTATTACCTTTATGGTTCTGTATACTGATCGGTAAGAAGATACACTACTTTTTTTATTTTTTTATTTTTTGGGTACACATAACTTTTAAGATTTTGATTGTCTATATATATGATTTCAACTCCTGGATCTGGTAATAATAACTATATAAAATTTGCATATCGCTAAACTTTTCACTAGCTAGTAGATTTTAAACACTTGAACAGTGTCTTTAAGAATCCATCCTATTATTTTCCATTTAGACCCATATTAAGCTATAATATTACTACTGTATCGAGACTCATATAGGGTATGTTGCTTCACCAAACAATTAACCAATGCTAGCAACTAATTAATTCATTTACAGCATTATGCTAATCAACACTTACTAAATCATCAAAAGCATTCTTAACCGTTCCTAACTAATTAGCAGTTAATGAAATAACGTAGTATTTCTTCTATCCCAAAATAATTGTCCCGTTTAAGATTTTGCTTTTAGTACTTACTAAAATAAAAGTTTAAAGCAGATAATTATTTTGAGACTGAAAAAATAGTAAATTTTGATATATTTGTTTAGTGGATGACGTGGCTGAAATGATCCATATTATGTGCTCAAGTGCAGTCAATTAATTGATGATATGGAATAGATTACACAATACATATGTAGGACTCAGACGTTTACTAACTAGCCTTGGCCCCTACCTAGAACTTGAAGACGAAGACTCCGTTTGTATTATTGTTTTGGTTTGTGTTTTGTAATTTTTTGTGCTTGAGATGTGCTTTGAGATAGGGTTTGATATTAATTTTAAAAATGCGTTTGGACCAAAAAAAAAAAAATTTGATCACCACAGGTCGTCGTCAGACCATCGCCCAAATGTGTTAGTTGTGGTGGTTTGACTAAGAGTTAGTGTGTCATGACCTTGACCTCAAATTTTGATAAATTGAAAGAAAAGAAAGTGAAGGGGAAGAATTAGAATTTGGGGGAGTAGATTTTAGATCCTCATAGGATGAGAATAGAACCAGGAGAGTGAAAGAGGGAGAACCCAAGGTCGTAGCATCGATAATCCTTACACAAAAACAAAAAACCAATTTTATGCTGATTCAATCAGCTCTAGCAAATTACAAAATACCCCCTATGAAATATGAAATCCTAAAATAGTCCAAATGCATGACTTAGTGACGGTGAGAAAAATTAATGTAATATTTGGTCCAAAACATGTTTTTCTTCAAGTTCACAGCCCAAATGTTTGCTTGGACCTATTCAAAATCACAAAACTGTAAAACCAAAATAAAGTTTACAGCTCAAACAGCGCCTAATTTCTTCCGCACTAAAAGCATAAAAGATTACAAACAACTAATTCAACAAAGAATCGCTCAAGTTCCTAACTAAGATTCCAAAATAATCCATGTGGTTGTTTACTTTCAAAAGAGTACATCGGAATAAATCACCAAATCTCAAGGAAGTATATATCTAGCAATCTTGCTTATCGGGGAGCTCAAAAATCAACTAAAAAAACTCTTTGCTTATTGTTCTCATTTCCAAACTGAATTCTCCTTCAACGGTCCAAATACCGGCCTCTTGAGTACGTAAATATTAAGTCAATCTTATTTAGAACAGTGTTGGAGTAAGACCATTGACTCTAGGGAGGAGGTAAGAAACGGTACAAAGGGATCATTTTGACGTACGATTTGGGATGAATTGTGTGAAGTTGATGCATAGGATGTAAGGACCTGAAATTTTGGGTCCGAATAGAAACACATTGAATGAGAGAGGGCTCGTAAGCAAATCAAATGAGATGAAAATGATAAAGCTAAATAAAATGTGATTTACAGGAGTACCCATCTCTCAAAGTGTATTTAACTGCTTTCAACTGGAGTGATCGAGTGTCTGATTTGCTACTAGGCAACGTCCCACCTGTTACATATTGAATAAACGGAGTCATCCATGTGTCACCATCTTCGGTAATAGCCATTACGGGAGCCTTTTGAATACTAGGTATGGGAGGATCTCGACCTAAACCTTGTGACTGAGGTGTGCAAAGTTCGAGAAAGCCAACTTGCTCAACGCGTCTGCCCTTTTGTTTCCCGATCATACAATGTGAGAAATAACGCACTCCTCGAACCTACCTTTTAATTCGAGGACGCTCCTGAGGTATTGTCTGAGCTGCTCATCATTTGCCGTATAATCACCCATGATCTGATTTACTACTACTTGAGAGTCGCTAAAAACTTGAATTTTTTGAACCCCCAACTTTAGAGCCATATTCAAACCTGCTATTAATGCTTTATATTCAGCCACATTGTTAGTAACTGGGAATCCGAATCTCAATGCGTAAGTGTACTCCGCATCATACTCTTTCATGCTCTTGATCTCACGATCAGCTGATGGTTTCGCCAGTATGATACTGGCTCCTCCTCCCTCGTCACAACGAGAGCCATCGACGTATAGCATCCAGGCTCGAGGGTTGACATTGATGCAGGTAGTAGGGTGACTCTTAGGCTTCGCGGCTTCCGGGACGGCAGTAGTTCGAGGCATTTCTACAAGGAAGTCAGCGAAAGCTTGACCCTTGATTGTTGTTCTTGGCTTATACTCGATATGGTTCTCCCCCAATTCGACTGCCCATTTCATCATTCTACCAGAGACTTCTGGCTTAGAACAACTTGCTGAATGGGTTGTTCTGTTAACACTCGTATCGGATGTGCTTAGAAGTATGGGCGCAAGCGTCGAGCAGCCAGAACTAAACTCAAGATAAGTCTCTCCATGGGCGTGTATCGTGTCTCTGCCTCTTGTAACACTTTACTAACGAAGTAAACAGGAATCTCCTTGCCATCCTTGTTTTGAACTAGGACGGCTGATATGGCTTTTTCTCGAGCAGCAAGGTATACATATAAAGTCTCCCCCGATTCTGGCTTGGCCAATATAGGGAGCTGTTTAAGATGATCCTTTAGCTCCTAGAAGCTTTTTGGCATTCCTCGTACCACTTAAATTCCTGCCTTTGCGGAGTGTATGAAAGAATGGGAGACTTCTTTCTACGGCTCAAGAAAGGAATCTGTTTAAGGCCGCCAAGGATCGTGTGAGTTTCTGAACTTCTTTGACATTCTTCAGGGCTTCCATGGCTAGGATCGGCTCGATTTTTGCCGGATCCACACTAATTCCATCTTTGGGTGCGTGGTACCCTAGGAACTTACCCGACCCTACGCAGAAGGCACTTTTTTTGGGTTAAGTTTCATATTAATCTTGCGGAGAATCAAGAAGATCTCGTGCATATCCTTGACTACTTGCTCATCTCTGTTGCTCTTGATCACCATATCGTCCACATATATCTCGATGTTTCGGCCAATCTAGTCATGGAACGCTCAGTTGACGAGGCATTGATAAGTTGCGCCAGTGTTCTTCAAGCCAAAAGGCATCTTGTCATAACAACATACTCCGATCTCTATGATATAGGCTGTCTTCTCTGCTTCTTCTCGTGCCATAAGGATCTGGTGGTATCCTTTATAGGCATCAAGGAAACTGAGGGTCCTATACCTAGTGATACCCTCGACCATCTGATCTATGACAGGTAAGGGATAGCAGTTCTTGGGGCAATGTTTGTTGAGATGTGTGTAATCCTGGCACATGCGCCAAGAGTTATCAGGCTTCCGTACTAGGACTGGATTAGCCAACCAGGTAGGCCAAAGAACTTCCCGGAGGATATTAGCATGGACCAGCTTCAACATTTCTTCATTGATGATGTCATTGTGGTCTCGAGCAAATATTCTCTTCTTCTGTTGTACGGGTTTAACATTGGGATCGACATTCAACTTGTGTTCAATAATTTCTCGTGGCACTCCTGTCATATCTGTAGGTGACCAGGCAAATATATCACGGAACTCACGTAGAAAGGCGATTACCTCGGTTAGCAACAATCCGCAAGGTGATATACCTATCTGGATGGTCTTGGAGGGATCCTTCTCGTTAAGAACAAGCTCCTGTGTCTTGCTACTAAGTGGTGGCAGGCAGTTAGTGTCGCGATCCTCCGACCGTGATTGTACTGCTGCTTGTTAGATTGAGTAGCATCGCAACATGGCAGTGCTTGGGTTAGACTTTACGACCTTCTTCCTAATCTTGACAGCTGTGAGCAAGCATTCTCGAGAGCTACGTTGGAATCCTTGCACTACTCCAACTCCATATTCTATGAGAAATTTCATCACTAGGTGATAAGGAGACCAAATTGCTCGGGTTGCGCACATCCAAGGTCATCCCAGGATCACATTAAACAGCGAGGGTGCATCTATTAAGGCGAAATCCATGGTTAATGTAACCATTCTGGGATGCAACCCTACCGTGATGGGGAGACTTATGATTTCGGTTGGAATAATAGTGTGGCCCGAGAAGCCCATCAATGGCATCATTACTGGGCGGATGTTAGGGTTTTGAATGTTTATCTTTTTGAAGCAATCGTTGTAGATGATATCGACTGCACTGCCGTTGTCCACATAAACTCGACTGACTTGCACATTTTCGATTATCGCCTCGATAACCATGGCATCACTGTGTGGGCAGATATCCGGGACCACGTCGCTGGCAGTTAAGAGTATTGCCTCTTGTCCCTTTAAATGAGATGAAAACGATAAAGCTAAATAAAATGTGATTTATTTTTCTATCGTCAAGTTTTAGAAAAATTTGTTTCTTTTGTTATGACAAAAATCTTCAATTAGAATTATCTCTTCCTTTCAAATTCTTGTCTCAAAAAATTAGTCTATTTTATGAAATGGAGATTGGTGTATTATGATATACTTTTAGCTAGGTTAGAAAGGATTCCCAAGGGGAATGGTTAGAAATGCTATTGTATGGATGATGCACTGATTGATGTGTGCTGAAGATAACAAGGAATTTTGTTCTTGTATATTCAAAGATCAAAAGGAGATATGCATGATATGGAGCCTGGCCTCAGGTTTCGAAATGTTGAGATGGGCAAACCAATAATGAATAGTGTGTACTACCTATCCAGGGAAGAATGTTCTCGATGGTGTTTGGTGGGTATTCTTTGATTTTATTAATTTTAAAATAAATAGTACACAAGGCAATTCTTAAGACTTACTCAAGAAAAAAAAGTGTTTATCTAATGATGATCGTCATGATTGATAGTATTTTTATGATATCACTCTATGTCTCATAAAAAGAATAACCAATATTGTAAACTGTAAATTGTATTGTTTTAGTATAATTAATAAATTACAATGTGATTATTATTATTTTTTTTAAATAAAATGTGATTATTTTAGAGCAGAGTAATATACATAAACACACTAATTTGGATAGTTAACTACATCTAGCTTAAAAAAAAGTATAATTTGATAATTACTACTTGTTTTGTTAAATTTTACTAAATTAAGGAAGTAGTATTGGAGTGGGTCAGTGTGGGAAAAATTTCTTATGCGGAACTGGAAGCACTATGAATTCCTTCTTATTTTTTCACTATAGTTTATATCATTATTCTTCTCTCTTCTCCAAATAATCTCCTATATTTTCACTTTTAGTCTCTATAACTATTTTCTCTCCCTTTCAAAAGTATTCAAAATTTCAACGTACTACTAATCTCTTAATCCGTAAAGAATTAGAGAATATGTTATCCATGAAATTTATAATACTCTATGAGAATGGTTATCTAGATAATGGGTCATCCAACAACATCCACATTGATTTTTTTTAACGTAAAAATAATTAAAATTTTCTGGACAGAAATGAAGTAATTCATAGGTTCCTTTTTTATTGATATTGTGCTGATTTTAATGTTACATAGCCATTTAAAATCAATACCATATTCATTTCTTTAAATAGCATATCCATCTACCGAAAATTTAAATAGGTACTAAATATATCCATCTTTTTAAAACTACATGTCGATCTAAAAAATTTAAAAAAAAGTTTAATTAATCAATACTATAATCGTTTCAATCTTGCATATTAATCGTTTTTGTATTGCATATACATCCACCCCTTTTGTTGTATATCGATCTAAGAGAAATAAATATTAAATTAATTAACAATATCCATCGTTTGGTGCAGTTTATCAATCTTTTTATGCTAGTTATCCATCCTTTTTGTCCACGATTAGTGCAACTCCATCTACAATTAACACAAAATTCATAATAACTCAATATTCATCGTTTTAATACTAAGTACCCATTTTTATTATTTAACATTATCCATCGTTCTGGTTTTGCATGTTTCGTGTTTTTGTGTCTCATATCCAACTGAAATTAGCATACTATCCACCCCTTTTAAACTGCATATCCATCTGAAATTAGAACCGGAGGGAGTATTAAGAAAGAATAGTTGTTTTTTTGTTCAAATAACATAGCACAAGTAAACACTTGGAGTTATTTTGTGATTTATTGACAAATGTGTTGGACCACAATGGGGATCAAATCCCTTGTTTAACATCTTTCCTTTCTCGATTTCACATTTCTTCTTGTATTAGAATAAGTAATTTTTGCACTCCAGAATTTCGTATTAGTTTGCATGAAACAAAATAATCTTGAAAATTCTGTCTAGTTTGAGATTTTCATTTTTAGTACGAATTGAACTAAAAGTGAAAATTCGAATTGAACCATAATTTTGGAACAAATGGAGTACTTGTATTGTATTACAATGTTTCCCAAATTGGTTTTTTTAAACAAAAAACAACAAAAAAAAACTAAGAATGAAGTATGAAATTTCTTGTTTACTATTAGTACACATTGTATCTGTTTCATATATAAATAACTAAGAAAATCCCACAACATTTCTTAAAAAATCATATAAAACTTATCATAATATTTTACTCTTTCTTAAAAAATTTTAATAAAATCATAGTCCACTATTCGATGAACTTATCATGGCAATGTTTCAAAATCTTAATGAATGATATAAAAAGATGCAGAATTATGGTGTAGGAAATTCTTTGCCCTCATGTTGTACTAAAATAATTTGACCATGAACGCTGATTTTTTTGGTTCGATATATTACCCGATTTATGTCATTCCTTACATAGTTTTATTAGATTTTGTAAAATTTCCACAAAGTATACAAACCGTATAAATATCTAGCAGGCTACTGGTCCACTTGGAGCAACATTTGAGGCTTAACAGAATCTCCCTCTTTCTCCATCTTCCTTTAAGATACTGGAACACGCAACTCACTCTCCTACCTCAGACTACAAAACTACAAAGATTCAAGGGGACCCAACTGGAATTCCCCATCAGTTTTGCCTAATCGATTGAAGAACATATTGCCATCTTTCTCCGTTGTTGCAATGGTTACTTGCTACTTGAAATTTCTCCAATACTACAAGCATTAATAATTTGTCCCTGTAACAAAAAGGGTCTAAAAATGGAGGCCTTCTGTTCGAATTTCGATCTGAACCCATCCAGAACTTCTTTAATTTCAAGATCATTTCAGAAACCCTCTTCGAAATTGGTCTTTCCAGCTCGATTTTCCTGCTCAAGTTGTGGGAAAAATTCTAACTTTGGACTTAATAATGTCCCTCGAGTTCCGTATGCTCGAAAGTCCATGAAAATTAGTTCCAAGAATGGTGGAAACACAGAATCGCTGAAAGACAGTTTATTTAGATGGGTTGGTAGTGGAGTTCTGGGTCTGGCTGCTGCAGTCTCTTTATCCTGTGAATCTCCAGCATTCGCTGAGTCATTGACCGTTGCTTTCCCTGTTTCTCACTCTCGTGAGGTAAATGGATTTGATAAAGCTCACTTCTTGATCTTATATTTCTATTTATTCGTCTGACTGTTGTTTGTTCACTTAATTTGATTCAATTGTTACATTCTGTCTTAGATAAATACAGTTCAGAGAACCCTTGTGGAGGCTTGGGGTCTAATTAGGGAAACTTTTGTTGATCCCACTTTCAATCATCAAGGTATGTAAACTCTCTAGTCATTTCAAATGATAATTTTTGTAGATGCTATGTTTAGGACCATTTCGTGTTTTTACTTTTGTTCTTATCAGTTAATTGACACTGTCAATGGTTAATGTAAATTGAGAATTAAGTGGTTGGTTCCTTAACTAAAAGAGCCACAGAAAAATCCTTTTATCTTTTGTCTTGATTGATTGTCTAAATGATAGCTAGGACATGTCTTGTAATTTTGATATGTGCTTTAAACTGTTTATTCATACTAAAATCGTTAAGGCTCTATTTGTAGACTGGGATATGAAATTGCAGCAAACAATGGTGGAAATGTTTCCCCTACGATCTGAGGATGCAGCCTATAATAAGATCAAGGGAATGCTTTCTACTCTTGGAGATCCATTTACACGTATTATTAGTCCCAAGGTATAGACGGTTCAGACGTTATTAAATTTTTGAAGTTTGTGAATGCTACTATGGAAGATATTATTAAAATGGACAATGTCATGGAGTTGTAAATCATAATATGTGAAATCCAGTAGTTTTTAGTGTAGCTGCTCGGAATGCTATATTTTGAACCACTGTCATCCTCCAGAGTCATGATATATTGTTTACGTTCCCATTTTCCTGTGCTTTGTTGGCAATCTGAAGGATTAATTATATTTTGAAATTGAGGTAGACACTTCTTGCCTCACATTGTTTATGTTGTCCGGTTCAGTATATTCCGAACCATACATTTGCTTTTGCAGGATACATTAGTAATGAATGGCTGTTGTGTGCAGGAATATCAAAGCTTTAGAATAGGAACTGATGGAAATTTGCAAGGGGTTGGTCTCTTCATTAATGTTGAACCAAAAACGGGCCACCTGGTTGGTAACACCTGCTTTCATCTTTGTTATTCAGTTACAAGCATAATTATTCTCCAGGATCATGTCTTTCAGTGTACTGGCGGTATGTTGCCAAAAAGATTATTGAAATAAATTATATTTTTCTAAATTATCAAACATTATCACTGCTTTCTGTTGTTTTGAGACATATACATCAACCAAGTGCTGACCGATTACAACAAATATCTTCAGTTTGAGATGGTTTGGCATTTGCTTTCTACTCATTCACCATTTCAATGATTTGACTATGAGAAAATGTCTTTAAGAAATAGCAATTTACGTGACAAAAGCATCTACAGGGTGAAGATTTAATCATGTGACCTTAAAAGAAACCAGTTATTTAAATAAGTTGGGGGAAAAAAAAACAGTTTAACAAAGGTAAACTGTGGGAAGAATGACATAGAACATAGTCACAACAAGTATGACTAGGTAAAAGTCATTCCATTGAGTTTTATGTTTGCTGTTGTCTTATTGAGTATTTGTGTCTGTCTTGTAGTACCCGCCATATCTACCATTGATATTGTCAACTGCAGGTTGTGAAAGATTTGTTGACGGACGTAATAGCTTAACTAGCAGGGGTTCTCCTTTTTCTCTTGGATCGCTGTTTAGTCTTTGTATTCAAGATTTTGTTCATGGATGTTCTTGGTTTGATTGGAAACATTATTCAAGTGCAGGTTGTTTCATCATGTATTGAAAATGGTCCTGCTGCTCGTGCTGGTATACATGAAGGAGATGAGTTGGTGGAAATTAATGGTACATACCCGATTTCTTTATGTTGCAATAACAGAGCTAAGACAGAGTTCAACTGCAAAATGTCCTGATCGCTGTTTCCTATTGTTTAAGAAAATCAGGGGAAGGTCTTGATGGTGTAGGAAGTGAAGCAGCAGCTCAAAAGCTCAGAGGACGTGCTGGCACAATTGTGACTATAAAAATTCACCCTGTAAGTACTTCCTTTTTGCCCTTTTTGTTCAACATGGCCATACCAGGCATACCAAAGTATAGCTACTCTAAACGTTAAAAGCAAGCATACCAAAGTTCAACAATAACATTCATATGATTTTCAGTTCCCAAATGAAGAATGCATGTAAAAGTTTAAAAGAGAATTGCGTGTGGCATTTTAGTTGGACACCAGAGGCACATTCTCACAGATATGAAGAAAGACTAAAGTTGCAATTTGTGCCTTGAATTATTGGACAAAACATTAAAAGGTTCTCAAAGGACACTTGCAGCCTTTTCTTGATCCTGTACAGTTATTAGGCACATTAATCTCAATCTCTTCTTTGAATGATGCTACCTTTTTTTGAAGTTCAGTCACTTTGTGAAGTTTCTGAGTTTTATCACTGCAGTGTTTTACTTGCTCATGTTACCTCATCAGTCATCACTATCCATAAGAATATTTTTGTTGACGAAATCAAAAGGCTAAGCATTAAGACTAGCATGAAGATAGCTGCAGTTGCACTGAACTGATGAATTAGAATTGATATTATTCTTTATGTCAACTATGGTGGAAGTTTTAAACCAATGGCTGCATTTCGATTCTTTCATGGGGAAGCACCTGACTTTGATCTTTGGCATTTTGTAAATTCACTCTTAAAACTCTGGATGATGTTAACGCTTCTGACGAATTTTATTTTGATTCATTTTCCAGGCTACTGATGCGGGAAATTCCAACATCAGGGAGGTATAAGCTTAGTCATTTGCAGTTTGTATTTTTCTGCAAGGCATGTTCAAAGATGTGCTGTTTGAATATTAGATTAAAACATTCAAAATTTTATGAAGGTAAATCTACCCCGTGAAGTAATCCAATTGTCACCAGTGTCCAGTGCCGTGATCCCTCATCGAACACCTGATGGACGCATGTCGAAATTGGGATATGTGAAGTTGTCAGCTTTCTCCCAGGTAACAAGTGAAATTTTGGTTATTGAGTGGATGATTTCTTGCATACCATTGCTAAAAGGCCAGCTCTGACATATCCAGACAGCAGCAATGGATCTAGAAAACACTATCTTTGATATGGAAAATCAGGGTGTGCAGTCATATATATTAGATCTTCGAAATAATCCCGTGAGTTACTCCCCTTACTCTTTTGTAGTACATGAATAACTTCACTTTAAATTCATCTCCACCTTTTTGTTTTTTGTGACATTATCACTGCATAATCTTATAGGGAGGCTTGGTTAAAGCAGGACTTGATGTTGCTCAAATATGGCTAGATGGTGATGAGACCCTTGTAAACACTGTTGACAGGGAGGGTCATTTGTTGCCAATCAACATGGTTAATGGGCACGCTATCACACATGATCCACTTGTGGTCCTAGTGAGTGCATGAACATTCAGTATTATAAATAAATCTCTCTTTGCCTTGATGTCAAAAGAATAGCCAACCTCTCTATAGCGTAGAGAATCATGTCATGTCGCATTTTGTTTTTTTAACAGGTGAATGAGGGGAGTGCTAGTGCTAGTGAAATTTTAGCAGGAGCTCTTCATGATAATGGCCGGGCAATTCTGGTTGGACATAAAACTTTTGGAAAAGGAAAAATACAGGTTCGCTTGATTCTATCTTGGCTATTTATATATTGCAGATACAATAACACAGGAAAAAACTGTTACTCGCTTCCTCCTGTTCTTGGGATTTTAACTTTCCAGTACTGACCTATTAGAGGTTCAAATAACACAGTGCCAACCAAGACATCTGCAATATCCTTACATTTCTCTTCCTTCATTAAGTGACCTCGTTTCAGAAGAAATGGTTTAAAAGTTGAGATTTTCCTTGTGTGATGGACCTTAGACTGTTGATATTAAGCCTTTCTGTTAAGAATAACTGGAGACTTAACTTAGTCTTTTCCGAAAGAATCAATTCTTTCTGTTAAGAATAACTGGTGACTTCCTACTTGAGAATTTCATATATACCTATTGTGAAACTGAGACGAGATGAAATTGGACAGTTGTAGACTTGTAGCAAAAATGACAATCTGCTTCCCACTTTCAAGTTAAATCATTGGCACCTTTAAAAAGAATATGGCATACTATTCTGCACCCCTTTTTTTTTTGTGCTGCTTTATTTTGATTCCCTTTAATTTCCTCGTCATCAATCCTTATTTACCGCAGAGTGTGACAGAACTGCATGATGGATCGGCTTTGTTTGTAACGGTGGCAAAGTATTTGTCCCCTGCACTTCACGACATTGATCAGGTTGGAATTACACCAGATGTTCAATGCTCCACTGAGATGCTTAATGCACTGATAGATTCCTCCAAGGACAAGAACATGAACTCTCCCCTGGAAGCTGATTCTTGCATAATGATAGCAGAACACGAGTTGGACATTCAAGAATCCAAATCTTCGGCTTCTTGATTTACAATGAGTCATCTCTCCATCAAAATAGACAAACGCAGTATTGCAAGTATATATGTTGGGAACCATTCATAGTCAAAAATATGCTTTGTATATTGTATATATCTCCGTACAGATATTATGTTAACGTTTCGCCTGTGGTATACCATTGTATACCAGAGTCCATGAAGTAAAAATGCAAAATAGATTAGTTCATTGCAGAAAAGGCTATTCCACATACTTTCATTTTACCCAATACTTGGCTTCTGTTATACTCCCTCCGCTCCTTTATAAGGCATTTTGATTTTGTCCTAGGTTTAACCCGGTACGTATTTTTAATTGGTCAAAAAATCTTTAAAATGTTTCATAACAATCAAGAGAATACAACGAATGTGGAAATATATTTTTAAGATTTTTTTCGTCAATTAAAAATACGTATTAGGTGAAACTTAGGACAAAATCAAAATACTTTACATTAAGGAACGGAGGGAGTATTAGGTTTTTATCAAACTTGTTATAGAATTGGGCCATACAAAAGGATGATAAGTAAAAATGACAGCTAAATCTAACACCATCAAAGTATTAATTTAGCAGAGAAAAAGATTGTAGATTGATATTGATACTAATTAGCGTGCTCTAAAAAGAAGTGTCACGAAAATTCATGTGCGCACGGACCGATTTTAATAAACAAAAGTGTCACGAAATTTCATATTGACAATAATTTCGAGACAAAGGAAGTATCCTGTACGCATGAGTATCAAAATTTTGATCAATCTTGGGTAGCACCATATGGGTAGTCGTAACAATTGGGAACAATGTGGGACTGGGGATATTAGTAAGGTGACATGTGGTATATAACAACCGCCGACTTGGGGTGATCGATCATGTGCTCCCCGCCGTTAGCCGAACATGGAAATGGGAGGCGCCGTGAGCTAATTCCGTAACGGAATAGCATCTTCTTCTCTCATCATCATTCATCATCATCATGTGCAGCTGTATTCGATTCCCCCCTTTCATATCACCTTTTCTTGTTTTTTTTCCAGCTTTTGGGTTGTGGTGGTTAGGATGAAAGTGATGACTTCACTCACTTTGTCCACCACAGAATTTTTTAGGAGGAGTAGAAGTGAAGAAAAAGATTACCCCCAAAATCTTTTCGGTAAAAAGTAGGTAAAATTTTGTAATACTCCAGTCAAAGGAGCAAAAAGAAATGTTAATGGCTGCTTGGAAAAGAAATTAGGAGACATTTTGTTGTGGCGTACTGCGCTAAAATAGTTCTATTGGCGATTCTGAAAAGGTTATATTGATTTGGCAAATATTTACTGTTACGGTTAGTATCGTCATTATAAAATCTCGTTTTTTATGTCGAGTATATTCTGAAAAAAAGAAATTTTTTGTCTATAGCTTCAATTCGATTTCTAAACTCTTTATTTAAATTATTTTGTTTTTTATTGTTCGTATGAATTGTTGGGATCATTATTGATCAGCTTTAAAACAGTATTTCTTCAAAATACTAGTTAATTAATTCCGTTTTTTGGCCCTTTATACTTCTTCAAACTCTCGAAGAGAATGAAATGAATGTTAAATTAAACATGAATGATCAAGTGTTCTTAGAAGTACTCTTGTTAAGTCTTCAAGCAACATTTTTCTTTCCTGTTCCAATGCATGCTAGTATTTGTAATTTCCATCTAAATCCTCCATAACTTCAAAATACGTACTCCCTTTTATCTCAAATTAATTGTTTTATTAATCAAACTAAAATATATAATTATTTTTATATGGAAGGTGTAGCAATTGGAATTTTCACGAGATTTCGTGATGTTTATAGTCCTTTACAGACTTTAATCGAAATACCCTAATCAAAAAAGCTATGGAAAACTGCAAATTGGCACCCAACCTTTGAAAGCAGAAATGACATTTTTCTTCGCAATTTGGACATCTAAATTTAGACTCTAAATTACGACCGCAGGACCCCAAATTTGTCAAATTTGTTAGAACTGTTCAGGTGGAAAGAAGAACTTTAACCCCTGTTCCGAATTGCAACTATTGTATGCATCTTTTTTCCATTTTCAGTTCTTTAATTCTCAATCCTCCTGAATTGATTTGAAGAATATGTTGCCTTTATGAGATTCTGATGATATTATTGGGAGAAAAAAAAAAATAAGATGGAAGAATAAATTCTCTCAATCAACACCATTAAAATTTAAAACCAAAAAGAAGAAGATAATAGAAGAATAATAATTATTCTCTCAACACTGTGAAAATGTACAACCAAGACCAAAAGAATAGTAATCCCAAAGTACAAATCTCAACAAAGGACTAGAAATAAATCAGATGAACATAAATAATACTGATATGACTACAGCAGCAATATATAACATCAAATCCATCTGGGCCTGTCAGTCAAAACAAACTCCTCTCCCGGCCATAAACAAATCAGTAACAATAATGATGACAATGAATCTCCTTAATGCCTGAAAAGAGCACCAAACACAGAGAGCAGCAGAGATCCGGCAATCAGAGTAGTAGAAACCGGCAGAGAGAACCCAGCTCCGGCGTCCGGGGCAGGTGCAGGGGCCTCTTGTGCAGAGGCTGTGACGGCAGCCAAAACCACCACAAACAAAGTCATGAAAATGTTCACCTTAGCCATTTTTTTGCTCAAAAAACAAAGAAAATTTGAGAGAGAATTTGGGGTTTTTTTTGTGCACTGAAATTGAACTCTGCTTTTTTTTAAGTTTTGTGAATTCTGAATTGGTGCGATGGAAATGGAGAGTGGAATGAAGAGGTATTTATAGGGGGTGTGGGGGGGAATTTGGAGTGGACAAATCAATAACGTTTGTTTGTGATACGCGTATAAAAAAAAGTGACAGCTGGTATGATGACTTAAGAACTGCAAGGAAAACTAGTGGAGAAGAAAGGAAATTAATTAGCTCACCAGACAGAGCCTTTTTCTGTTTGAATTATTTTGAATTGAATTGGCCAAAAAGACAACACCAAATAAGGGCTACAACGGCTGGATTTTTTGGTGATGATTTTCGTGTACAAATTTGTCCCCGTTGTGGGTTTTTTTCCTTTTCTTTTGCTTTTCTGGCCATTGGAACGTTAAAAATCGACGGAATTGATTGATTGGGATTTTAGAATTTGATTCCATTGTTCGTTAAGATTTTAGCTGGAATGTATGTTTGTTTCGTTCTTTTAGTTAGTATTTTTAAGTATTTTTTGTATTGAAAATGTAAAAAAGTATGCTGAGATGGGACAGATATTAATATATTATTATGAAAAAACCACGAGAAAAATGAAACAAACATATATTAGTATTTTTTTTTACTGCTACGTGTTTTTTTGGTACCGTAACGGGAGGGAACAGGGGATGAATTTTGGTTCAACACGTTGTTGTAATTTTTGCTTCCGTGTTAAGTCTAATCAACCCACACTTTAATTTACATAATTGGGGAACCGACAAAAGATGTTGGTACACCGGCGTTGTTAAACCCCAAAGCACATTCATTAGTTCGTTTTCGGATTTGACCAAAGTTTGATTACAGATTTTAGTTAGTCACATTTTCCTGCTTGCATACCAATTGAGTATGTGAGATCAAATGTGAAATGGTTTCGCTAATCGGATAACAGTTGTCGTTCTATATTTTGATTAAGTTTTATTTAAATAACAAATGAATGAAATAAATTGTTATTTATTGAATATATTAGTTAAAAAACGTTCAGAAGTATAGTTTAGATTATTTCGGGGAAGTTTCGAAGTTTACCATTCATCACTACAGTAGGTATAATTAACACTTGTAGATAACGTTCTCAAAAAAAAAAAAAAAAAAAAAAAAACACTTGTAGATAATAAGTGATAAAAGTACCAAGTTTCACTAAAAAAAAAAACATAGTATTATAACACTTTCCTACGGACTTTGTCATCGGAGGATTTGTGTGATGAAAATACGTTGTGAAGAACATTACTGTGACTCGTGATCATTGACCGAGTTTGGTTTTAATTAGTCCAATGCATTTACGTTTTGACTTCAAATCATTGAACCACGCTCAAATATCGTTTGCACATGTATGACATTTTCTGTACCAACCAAATCGAAAGACCACAATTTTTTTACCATTTGTGACAAGCATGTTTGATTAATCCACCAAACTACTTCCCAGCTTTCAATTTCAATCTCTATAGTAGTACTAGAATTACTTTCGTACAGCTTTGGAACTATCCCAACATAATTTTCAACCAGTACTCTCGTTTTTTTTAATTAATATAGTAATAATCACAATGCATGTAACAGTATTTCGGGACGAAAAGAGTAAATAAGTTTACGTAACTGACTTGGCCTCTTCGGCTCTTCCCATATGGAACATGGAAACATCCAGTTTAAGACGCAATTAACACTTGAACCGGGCGGCAAATGACAAGCTTAATTATCGCTTCTGTGTCACCATTCACCATCCACCACCACAATGACCAGTAGTTAAAGTAAATTAAAGATTTTGGGGATGGATGGATCAAGAACCTTCCAACCTAGTATTGCCGTCTGATTAAGTGCTCTTTAATAAAGTTCTAATCTGGAAATCAGTGACACTTGGAGCTTGATATTCTTACTTCTACGCCCGCTTTTCTTTGTTTCCTTTGAAAATAAGAAAAACAAAACTTCACAAGAAAAAAAAAAGTTAGATACTCCCTCTATTTCAAAATTTAGGCTACTTTAGACTCTATACGTAAATTAAGGAGACAATCATTTTAATAATTAATTTGTGTGTTAAATTTCTATTTTGCCCATCATTAATTATTTTAGAATTATAATTAATACTAGATGAAAAGTGATTATCATTATTTACTGGGGGTAAAGTTAGAAAGTTAGTCATAATTTGCCTTGAAATTATAAAGCGACCTACATTTTGAAATATTTATCCAAATTTAAAACGCCTACATTTTGAAATGGGGAGATTACATTAGTAATTTAGTGCATGTTAAAAATTAAAAGTTAGTTCTGACTTAAAAAAGTGAGCTAATGAAACGA